GCACAAACCTGTGCCACTTTTTCGTCAAACGGAAGATGCTGCAAACAAAATTTTCATAGCCCTCTTCATTTCTGAGCTACAGGGTCTTTTCGAAAATTTTGCAATTTGGGACACCCCCTGTATCTCTGTTATTGTTAAAGGTATCGAGAAGGCGAAAACTGCCTATTGTAGAACTTTTTACGTAGAATACAGTGGCGTAGTCTGTTTTTCTACCAAAAAAATATTTTTGAAAATATGAACTAAATTATGTTTTTTCAAATGGAACACCCTGTATATTTATAAATCATATGATCTGTCTTGCTATGAGCTTCTCAAAAATATATATCACTCTATATTTATTTTCACTATTTACTGCAGTATTTAAAATATATCATTTTCTGATTAGTAGGCCGTGATAAATAACAAAAAATCAAAGTGGTATTTACTAAAATAGTCATACACATATTAAAATTTATTTGGGATTGATATATTTTACTTTTGAAATAACTGTTACAACTGAAACTGTGAATATATTTTTCTTTTTTTTTATAACGGGACGGGTTTGCAAATATCTAAATGTTGAATTATTAAAGCATTTTTCAGGTGTTCGACATTGTTGTAGTGCCTACGATATATTTCGTATTTCAAAAATTCCCAAAATCAGAAATCGAGAACGGCGAAATCCGGGAATCGAGGAAGCTATCAATATGCGTTCATTGGTTCCAATTCATTGATTTGAAAAATAATAATTTAACAGTATTCTAATATTTCCATAGTTATGAGGGGGAATGTTCCCCATCTTGCTGAAAGTATATTTCACGTAAATTCGCTAAAGGAATATCTAAAATTTCCGACACGATAGATTATTCTTATGTATACACGTATTCCAAGATTTACAAATAGCGGTAGAGAGTTAAGTTTCCCTAATATATAAAGAATTTATTAGCGGCTCCCAAAATAAAACAGGAGACAGATAGCAGTATACTTTTAATAATTCTTTAGTTTCTTTTATTATCAATCATGGCCTACTAATAAATATCATGTTTTAATAAAAACTTTTAAATATTGCAGTAAATAGTGAAAATAAATATAGAGTGATATATATTTTTGAGAAGCTTATGGCAAGACAGATCATATGATTTATAAATATACAGGGTGTTCCATTTAAAAAAAAAACATAACTTTAGTTCATATTTTCAAAAATATTTTTTTGGTAGAAAAACAGACTACGCCACTGTATTCTACGTAAAAAGTTCTACAATAAACAATTTTCACCTTCTCGATAGCTTTAACAATAACAGAGATACCGGAGGTGTCCCAAATTGCAAAACTTTCAAAAAGACCCTGTAGCTCGGAAACGAAGAGGGCTATGAAAATTTTGTTTACGGCATCTTCCGTTTGACAAAAAAGTGAGACAGGTTTGTGCAAACCGCACCCTTCTATCTTCACTAATAACGAAGATACCGTATGATTTCAACCAAAATGGGACACCCTGTACATTCCTCCTAAAAGCACATGTTGAAAAGAAGACGTGGAGTAGCAATGAATATTTCACTTAGATCTTCACGGAATTGTAATTGTCGGTCGTAATCATCTTCGTTTAATTTTTGGACCAGATGTAGTTTGTAAGGCTGGAATTTGTGGAACTTTAGTATCTTGTGAACACGACTCTTACTTATTGCTGTGGCTGTTGTCAATTGTCTAACACTCATTCTTGGTTCGGCATGGTTTTGTCCCAGAACTATTATTTGCATCGCCTAGAGCGTCGTTGGCCTTTGCATCACCAGGTGAAACTTCTCGCTTCTTTGTAAACACTTCCAGTTTCTCTAAATTTAGCTACTAATTCCAGCACGTACTTATGACATACTATTGACATGTTTATCTAGATGTCGGTCATTAAATAACTGTGCCGTTCTATTGCCACATCCGTCTTGACTAAAGAAAGTTTCAATTATCTCAACGTTATCTGCAGTAGAATAAACCATCACGTCAATTCACAAAAATACTATATACTCTTAAGATAACACTAAGAACAGTAAGCCTTACAAAATATTAAGAATACTTCCAAACTGAATGATAAGATGAAAAATATTTAGCAGTACTGCCTCAAAACAGGATAAGATATTAATAAAAACAATTTTTTACCTACCAAAAACTGGTTTACATTTTTGTTTCTTATCAGCTAGTACACGTCTTCTTTTCAACATGTGATTTTCGGATGAATGTACATTTTTCATCTACGGAACAGTAAATCGCCACGATTGTTTCAAAGCAGGGTACTGCTTTTTGTATATTATTCATTAAGCAAAATCTTGTTGATTTAATCTATTTTTTTATTTTAGAGCCCATTTCGATTCCTGTATAATTAATCAAATATCAAATCATCATCAATTTATGAAAGAGTTTATTTTTCAGCCCGATTCCACCAAATATAACAAAAACTCCAAAAATGAGACGGCCCTGAAAAGAGGCTTTAATAACCTTTCAAATGATGTGCTACTCGACCCCGCATTACATTTAAGATTTTAAGGCTGGATGTCACCCCCGCATGGGGTTTGAATTAAGGGCTTCAAAAATAGTGGCATCTTATTTCCTCTTCGAAAATAAAGTTGACGTGTTTCATCGTTTTGTCCTTTCCACACCTAAATTGCCTTGTTTCGTTTGAACTGGGATACCCTGTATACAGTTTGCTAAAATATTCATAAAAATAGGACTTAAAACTTTAAATTTGACGAAATTTTTCGACGAAATTTTTCGGTTGCGTTTTCTTTTGTATCTGAGTTTTGCGTATTATAAATAGTTAAAAAATTAATTTTATAGGTAGATAGTGAAAAACCGGGAAATGCCGGAAAATTTACTTAAAAAACGGGCCTGACTTCATTTCAAAAAGCGGGACTGTCCCCCATAAGGCGCAATTGTCACTATAACGTACCGTCACCGTCACGTCGAGCAGCCGCGCCTGCGCATTCTCGACATAAAACATGAAGTAAATGGGAGACGGACGTTGCCACTTTACGAGTAGTGTGAATGATTAAAGTGAATTTAAGAATATTTACCGTGGGGGCCCGGCCGGCGGCATGCCGGCGGCTCGACGTGACGATGGCGGTGCGTTCTAGCACAGGTTATAGTGAAAATCGCGCCAAAGCATGTCGCGCACTTGTAGCGCGGCGAATTTTTGATAGACGCGCTAACTTAGGCGGAACATCTGGCAACACTCATTTGCAACCAAAGTGAGACACTTTGCACTTTTATGCTGGTAATATAAATAGATCTAATAAATATTTTTATTTGATCATCAGATGCCCAGAGTGCCAGTTATTGGGATTGATTTAGGCACATCGCGCTCGCTAGTTGCTGTTTACCGAAAAAGAAGAGTAGAAATAATTCCGAACAAGAATGGAGATAGGTTAACACCTTCCTGCGTATTCCTACGACCCAAGCAGTTTGAAGTAGGCTGTTGGAACTGATGCTGAAGATCTAGCACCAAACTGTCCAAATAACTTTATATTCGGTATGTAGATTCAACTGTATGGAATAGTCCGTATAAGATATTTTGAGAACATGGAAAGATTACCTAGAGAATCCAAAAATTTGAGGAAATTTTTCAAGAATAGTTTAAAAGTATATACAATTAATAATTTAACATTAATAAAATTAAAAATATTGTTGTACACCGGCATCTAGAAAAAACGGCACTTTAAAAATTTTTTGATGTATTTTAAAGCTTTATATAGGTTGTTTCAAAAACATGTGCCATCTCGTGGGGAGATTTCGTAATAGATTTTAAACTTATTTACCAAGTGAAAATCGAGACTCATCCACATTTGACACCAGTAGTTAACTGCATAAAACTTCCTCTAGGACATGCGAGACCTTGTCATTGGTGGGAAAGCTCCTAATCTAGGAGAGATAGTGGCAGTGTTTAAGTAAAGTACTAGGCATAGAATAAGAAATAACTAAGTTTACATTGATTTTGCGCTGAAAAATATTGTGATATTGAAAAAACACTCTTGGATTGGTCCGAATTTCGTATATTTTGCTTGGTTTTATTAACTTCTTTTGTGGCCATTTTATTTTATGCCATATTTCAACTTATTTATAAATTTCTTCCTGGGAGGGATAATTACCCTCATTACCCCCCTGTATATGCGCGCTTCTTGCTGGCTGTAGTTTCGTGGTCATTTATCACCGGTAGAGGGCGTGGGGAAGGGGAAGACGTCTTGGCTTAGCCGGTCGAACCAAGGGGAAACATCTCACCAAAACATAAATCCTACGATGGCGGGACCAGGTCAAAGGGATGCGTGGCTAAATAGATAACTAGCCTCTAGTGGTTCCAACCTTGGGGCACCATGGAACAACCTGTTGTATTCTCGTCTCCCTTACTTCCACACAGGCGGGCTCTGTAGAAGTGGATCGACTAATCCTTGCCACCGCAATCTTTCTTTGCTCCTCCGGAGGCAATAGAGAAAAGAGATATATGTCCCTCTATTATAGATTCGGGACAACATCGGTATCAGGTCTAAGGAGACACCAAGTTAAAGAGATGGAGAAAATGGAGACAGATCCTCGAGCCTCCACCTCACGGGTACCTGAGTCCGAGACAAGTCCCTCGACTGTAAAGAGCATGGAGGGCCAAACCCCCAAAAACTTTGGAAGGGTGTATGCTCTCGTAGGATGTAGATCTCATACTATGTATGATCAATTATAGACTATATGATAAGTTATAACTCAAGACAGGGGGACACAATAGATCTTTAAAGTCGCGGTGATTAACTCCTCTCCCAATCATTCTACATTCTACAACTGCATGAAAATAACTCAGACATAAATTGTCTAATTAATTAATTTTTTCATAAAATATCTATATTAATATGCAATTTTTTTTTCAATTTTGGGACGCTAAACGGATTATTGGTCGAAAATTTGATGACGCCTACGTTCAAGAACTGAAACCCGAAGCGACTACCAATTCAAAATAGTTTCAGGTGAAGATGATAAAGCAGAATACGAAATAAGACATGATGATTCGACGGTACACAAATCGCCGGAACAAGTTGGTTCTGAAATATTGAAGTACCTTTCGCGAGTCAGCCAGTGAGTACCTTGGAGCTAAAATAACTGAAGCCATTATATCCGTTCCGGCTCAGTTCAGCAATGCGCAACGAGCAGCAACCAAAGCAGCAGCAGAATTGGCTGGACTGAAAGTACTGAAGCTGGTCAGTGAACCGGTTGCTGGAGCGATCCATTACACGCATAATAAGTGGGATGTCGAAAGGAAGATTGTGGTATTTGATATGGGAGGTGGAACGACGGATGTATCCATAGTAAATGTCAGTAAAGAAAAATTTGAAGTGTTGAACGTGGAAGGAGATACGTTCTTAGGCGGTAGAGACTACGATAACTTGTTAGTAGATTATTTTAAAACGAAATTAATTGAAGAATTTAATGAAACTGTTATCACTCCGAGACTCATAAGGACGTTAAAAGAAAAATGTTCTGTTATCAAAGAGAAACTATCCGACAAAACAAAGTGTTCTCTGGCTTTAGATTGTATAATAAATATGAGTGATAATGTCTTTAACATATCACTAACACGACACGAATATAACGAGCTAACAGATTCGATAACTAGAAGAGCTTTAGACTTGGTACAGAAATGTCTCGCCGATGTGGGACTGTCAAATCATAATATAGGTAACGTCCTTCTTATCGGAGGAATGACAAGAATGCCGAGGATTCGCGAAGAACTCCGAGCATTTTTTGACTCTAGAAAAATAAAAACCGACTTGAATCCGGATGAAGCTGTTGCTTTGGGTGCTGCGATCCAAGCTTCGTTCATAAAAAATAAATGTGTAGAATTGAAAGGTATAACGTTGCTGAGGTAACGCCTTTTATCTGTAGGAGTTAAACTATCACGTGGTTTAATGAAAATCGCAATTATGAAAAATACCCCATTACCAGCAAAGGATGCCTGAAATTAGCCACACAGCAGTAAATAACTAAAAAAATATAGCATTTAAAATTTTGAAGGTGAAAGAAAAATTGTGCCTTCAATAACCTTTGGGTGAATTTACCATAAATAATTTGCCCAAAGGAAAAGCTGGTGATGTAGAATTTCAAACAAATTTCTTTCTTAACCAAGATGGAATTTTAGAAGTAGAAGCAATGAAACGAGTACTAACCATAAGAAGAAATTAACAGTTACATTGGAAACGTATCGCTTACAGTGTCAAAATAGAATTTCCAATATCATAGAAGATGCGGAAAAAAACCGCGATGTTGATATTTTATTTGAAAAATATAACAAAATTTTCAAAGGAATCAAACACGTTTATAATGATATAGTTTATGGTATAAATCAAATATATTCCGAAACCGACCGTGGAATTGTTGCCAAGGAATGTCAAGGATTAAAGAGTAGCTTAGATAATTCTGTTTATACAGAAATTAATAACTTAATAGGAGCTTATAATCGTTTTCGAATGGCCACTGAAGGGATAGCTGGACAGGCGATTGATATAATTTGGCCAGAATTTTCTTAAGTTACGCATTTCGTTTATATTTCGTATTTCCTTAGTAAACTAAAACATTTAGAAGATGACTTTTGAGCATTTTATAAGAAATAATTCATAGAAAAAATGTCTATCTCCAAAAATATAAATTTTATTTAGAGATAGGTATTATAAGGTAACATAATTATGTTTTGGTGGTAACAAATGTTACATCTATTTTTACATATAATAAATCATAAACATCCATTTTTATAATACTTTAATTAATTTTAATAACTTCAGTTTATACATAAGGACTTGAAGTAAATAATTTTCTAAAGTGCCACAAAAAAGCATTGCTTGTAATTCTCCAAACTATTATCGAGAAGAAAATAAACATCTTAAGATACAAGCTCACATCAGAAAACTTAAGTCTTTTTTTGATTTATAGTTATTAACGTAATAAGGCCGATAAACAACAAATAACGGCCGGGCTGAAGTTTGTGATCCGAGGCGATAGCCGAGGATCATAAGCAGCCAAGGCCGTTATTTGTTATCGGCCGTGTTGCGTTCTAGATTTTTCGTCATACTGCAGATTTTTTAGAGCAATAAACACTACTATTTAATAACAAATTTTATTGAACAATAACACAAGTAAGGATAAAAACACATAATGTCTTATACTAAAATTCATTTTTCATGATAATGAACATGGAAATTAAAAGTGCACTTGTTGAAATTTTAGAAATCTGTAATCCTTCCCAGGGATTTACAGATTTTATAGAAGAAGATGATGCTACTGAAGAATGGCAAATATTTGTATCCACTAAAGACACATTATTTTTGGAGCTATCATGAAAAAGTTGATTTGTTATTTTCATTCTTTTTGGAAACTGATTTTTCTATGTAAGTTTCTGCCACTGTTGAAGACTCCCATCCTCCTAGCTCCTTTAGCGATAGTAAATCACCACCATTTTCGGCGAGCATGGTTGCTGATGATCTACGAAATGAATGCCCTGTATAACGTTCTGATTCTCCAAGTTCAAAAATTTTGCAATTTTCTGCGGTACGCTCCCGATGGTATGTATACCGACGATTTGCTTAACACACTTGCCTTTCTTGTAACCAATGAAAAATTTTGGATTGTCAAAGCTACGAGGACGCAGGTTGATGTATTTTTTGTATAAACCATAGGCATCAAACGGAAGGCCCGTTTTTGGAATAAGAAATTTCCTATCTTTCTTATTTTTAGTATTTCTTGAAGAGACAAGAATATTTTTCTCCGAATCTTCGAAATCATCAACTGTGAGTGACCAAAGCTCGCTGCGCCTACAAGCTCCAAGAATACCAAGCACCAATACAATTTTTTCGAGTAACCAGGTGTAATCATCGGCATCCAGTAGAAAATTATTTATGTCATTCCTCCGACAGAACTTTGGCTTTTTTGGTGAATAACCTTCGTTTTTGCGCCTCAGAAACATGAACAGTTTACCAAATCTATGAACAAATATAATTTAGATGAGTATGATTAAATATCGAAGAATATAATGGCTTTTACCTTGATATGTCGATGTTTTCATATACTCAACGCAAGCTTCAGCATGGAATCTTTGTCCACAGTGATGTAGGAGAATACATTTCAGACATTCTTTTAGCATAAGCCAGCAATACCGCTTCATTTACGCTGTTTATACTTCTATCCTGCCGCCACTTCAAAAAATTGTCATATTCCTGCTGATATCTCTCTCTGGTTATAGTCGGAAGTATAATTTTGAGTAGCCGCAGCCGCTTCCTCCTGTATTTCCAACGGAATTTCTCGCGACATCTCGCTATGGTCTATTTTCCCAATTTTTGAAAAGTCCAACTGACAATAAATAGTCATTGTTGCAGGTGACAGACGTTACGATTACCTTAGAAACTTAACGGCCGCCGGCCGTTATGATAACGTCCGGCGGACATTATATGCATCTTTTCCATTCTGATTTTGCTTATGTTATAATAATATAACAATATAGTATGACGAAAAATCATTTTAAGTAGGTAATTTGATTTTAAGTCATTTTTCGAAAGTTGACTTAAGACTTAAAATTTAAGTCTTTTTGAAAATGATTTGTGATATAAATCTTTTTTTTTCCGAAATTTAAGTCTCGGAAAAGATTTAAGTCTTTAAAAAACTGGTCATTAAAAAATGTGTCTTTTATAAAAGGCTTAAGTCAGATTCTTATATACATATTTTTAGAAAAAATCTACCTTTTAAATAAATCATCAAAAAATATTAAGTTTTAGCCGAGTTATTAAACAATTTTTCCTACCAATCAATGATACGCTGATGAAATCTATCTTCGGAACGTTAAGACTTTGAGAGAAAATTGAGGAATTTTCGAGGCGGAATATCTCGAAAACTACTAATCCTAGGTAAAAATTAATAAGAATCATTTTTGTAGGTAATTACCTAAGCTTCATTGAGAGTGGCTCATTAGCATATTTGGAAAAAGAATTTTTTACAAGTAATTTGGTACCACACATTTGGTATTTCGAGTCAAATTGTCGTTATGAACCACATGTCAACAATAAAAGTACAATGCAAAATATAACAAATCTATATGTAATCTTAAAAAAAACACCTAGTATAGATTTAAAAGTGAAAGTAAAACTCTAATTCTAACGAACTACAATAAAAAAATATCAAAAAATGCTAGGATTCTTCATTTGCCGGACCAAAACATTCCTGAATTGACGCAGCGAGTCGCCAAATATATCAACAGATGCCAGGCTCTCAACATCATTGAAATCAGTACAGGCCCGGTAGAGGGGTGCTTTACCGGCTAAACAAGTACTGACGTTTGACAGGTAGAACGTGTTTTGATTTCTAGTACGGACGAGCGGAGCTGAAAAGTTCAGCCGAGCTAATAGCGAAGCGCAGTCCGCATGACCGTTACAAAGTTTATAAAGGAAAGATAAAGAGTGAAGTCTGGTGAAGTCTATGAGTTTGCTCAATAGATAAAAGATCAAACCTTTGCAACAGCTGTAAGTAGTTATAACCACGCTCTGGGAAAACACCATCCAGTTTGAACGAGAGATATTTTAGGAATTTACGCTGAACATTTTCTAATCTCCGGATATGGTCCTGGTGAACTGGTGACCAAAATTGAGAGGCATAATTAATTTTTGATTTCACAAGGCTCATGTATAATGCCGTTAGACGTAATGGACTATTGAAACCTTCTGTGGATCTCAGGAGAAATCCTAAAGATTTAAGAGCGCCACGGGATACTTCATCAATATGTATGTTAAAAGTCAGTTTCTTATCCAAGTAAACACCCAAGTCCTTAACGTGCTCACAATTTTCCAGGATTGCGCTATTTATCGTATAGGGGTGGTCAAGTTCAATACGTTTCAGAGAATATGACATTTTTTTACATTTAGAGGTGTTTAAAGCAAGTCGATTTTCCACGCACCAATTAGAGATAATATCAAGATCGGCCTGCAGACGGATGCAGTCATCCTTACACCGGACGACACTAAAAATGTTCAGATCATCTGAAAATAAAAGCGAACAGCTCTTTAATTGGGTCACTATATCGTTTATGTATATTGAAAATATCAGTGGTGCCAAACAGCTGCCCTGTGGTGCACCACTAGTGGCTATAACGGGGCACGATCTGTGACCATTATATTCAACATATTGCTTGTGTTGATGTACATATGAGGAAAAGAACTTTATTAATTTATTATCAAATCCCATTTGTAACATTTTCTCTCCCATAATCCCATGTTCCATCTTATCAAAGGCCCTCGAGAAGTCTGTGTAAACAGCATCAACCTGATAACCTTCACCGATAGAGTTATATGTATATTCAAGAAAGCATGTTAAATTGGTGACAGTTGATCACCCTGGAAAAAAGCCATGTTGAGATGGTGTTATCAAATTTTAAATTTTGAAAAATAGTTTATTATGTATACACCTCTAGAAGGCCTCTTGCAATGTTGGATAGAATTGAGACCGGACAATAATTCTCAATGATATCTCTGTTGCCCGTTTTAAAAATTGGACAAATCTTGGCTTGCTTCCAAACACCAGGAAATGTTTGTGTTAAGATAGAAAGGTTAAAAAGTCTAGTTAATGGTTCAGCCAGAACAAAAGCGCAATCCCTTATAAGAAAGGAAGGTATTTTATCTGGGCCAGCCGTTTTTCTATTTTTAGTGAACTTTAAGGCCTTCAGCACATCTTCGGTGTCAAATGGGTCCAAAGAAATACTATTACCACATTCATCCGAGACATTGCTAGGGCTTGAAACAATATAAGCACCTTGGAAAAAATTGGCAAAATGTCAGTGGGATTGTCAAGAGGAGTATTATCACTGTTTCTAAGAGTGCCAGGAATACGAGATCTATTCTGTTTCTGCTGAAAATATTTCCAGAATTCTCTGAGTTCAGCTCGTAGCGAGTCCATTTTCTATCAAATAAAGTAAAAAATACCGAGAGGTCATTTAAAAATCAATCATGTAGTTATTTTCGGTGAAACAGGAAGTGACAGAAAACAATTGTATACCTCAATCAATCCTCTTTTATGTCATATATACTAACATACCAAATCTCGTTTTTTTATCTGAAAAAATAAAAAAGTTATAGTGGTGAGCCACTTTTGAGACGCACCCGGTATATGCACAAATATACAGAATGTGAGTAACGGCAACATTGCAAGGCTGAGGAACATTTTTTTTTAATTTCCCGAACAAATATAATACCACAAAAATTGAATAAAAATATTTTTTTTACAAAAAAATCTTTTTGTCATACGCTCCCAAAAACAGCTATTTTACGGACTCATTTCAGTCCGTAAAATGTTTCTTTTTCGGCCTAGGCCGTAAAGGTCGTCATGGCAACCTTTATGGACTAAAATGTCTAAATTCGTTATTTGGTTGTTTTATTTTGTCATTAATCGTACTTATCCGCTGATTAGCAACACTGGTCTTCATTGTCAGAAATGAAATTAATCAGGACCGTCAAAAGCTGTCGTCGGATGGTTGACTTCGGTTGGTGGGGTCTTATCGGCAGACCGGATCTTACGGTACTTCATAGTACGCCCAGCGCTCAAGAGGAGCGTTTTCGCAAAATCCGGTACGTCGTCGGTGGCTTAGCAGATTCCTCTAACGCTACTCGCGGGGTTGGGTTCTAAACTTAGATTTTATAAAGGAAAGGTATAGTAGATAGTGGTATAAACATACCTGGTATAAAACATACGCAGCATATACATAAGAATCTAAAGTTTGTTTATGTATACTACCCTATACTCGACCTTATACCCTATCGGTCATAGAGTTGGCGAAAATATTTAAGCGATGACTCGAACGTTTATCGACCCATTATATACTATATTACTCGATACCCATTATAATCAGTGATGGGCGTTGGGTAAATACCATAGAGGAAGATAATAAAAAGGTTTTTTATTATCGAAATGGTACTATAAATACCGTATAAATAGCATAATATAATATAATTAAAATTTATGTGACAAAAATTCGCTGTCCGAATACATATCATGCGCAAAGTCTAATTCAGGACTAGGTTCTTCTTATATAGAGACTATATCTTCATTCCTGAGAATCTACAATCGTTGTCAGAAAATATGTTGTTTTATATTGTTTTGAAACGGCTGTATGTTTCCAAATTCCTACCGACATTTTGATCTGCAGTAAGTACTTTTACACTTTGACATTAGATAATACATACTAATTTCATTCTCGAGTTAAGACTATTTTCGAACAATAGTGCGGTATTGTTTTATTAGGAGTAAAAATTATACTATTTTGACGATGCTGTACCTTTTGAAAGACCATGGTAAAGCTATTCCGACGTTACAAGGAGGCATAAAAAGTACATTTTTACTCTGAATAGAACATACTATTTTTTTAAACATTACAATAATTATTTTTAATCAATTTCAAACATTGCAAATAATGTAAACAGTAATCGAGCAACAATTTGTACACTCGTTGAATTTGACACTTAATATCAGTTTAATATATATTTTTGTACTTTTGTACTTAGGCGTAACAGTGCTTTACTTTTATGTCTCGGCGTTAAAATGACAAAAATTAATACTTTTTGAGACGTTTGAAAAAAAAATCCTTTTGATCTGAAGCGAACGACTTTTTTTGCGGAATATGTTGGTGACTTGATGTGTAAAAATTTATAACAGGTTATTTTTATTTAATTTACCTACAATAAGGTTAATAAGTAAGTATTTATTATTTTATAAAGAAAATGAAGCAGTATCTGCTGGCGGAAGCAATGGATATGTTACTAGTTACTAGTGATTTTATTTTGTGAGGACAATTCGTCGTTAATTTTACAAAGTGTCGTATCTCATATTTCATAGTTTTCCAGAATGGAGGTTTAAAGGTTTTGTTAACTTTTGGATATCGGTTAAAGTAAAATAAACATTTGCTAAATTATTTACTTGCCGGAAAAGTATAGGACGCAGAGATACGACACTTCATGAGATGAAAGAGTATCACATTTTAGGTTTGAGTTTGTGGTTGTATCTCAAAACAGGCATTTTTTGAGATACGTCAGTTTGTGAAATTAACGACGAATTGCTTGTTGACCTGAAGGGTTTATGTTCAAAGGTATCCAAATAGGAATTTTCGTATCAAGCGTTCCTTTGAAAAGTGAAACTACTGTTCCTATTTCGCAGAGCTGATAGTGTGGTATATGAAAACCCTATTAGGCAGAAACCTGTCGTTGGAGGTGAAGAAAATGAATTTGTCTTAATTGGTGCTTTTATAAAAAAAATCCAATATACGGACCATAATCCCAAGAAATAATTTTCAATAAAAATCCAATATATCTACAATCTACAAGTCATCCTAATATAAATGAAAGAAGTACTTCATTTATTTCTTGAAAATAATAAATACTTATTAAACTATTGTAGGTAAATTAAATAAAAGTAAACTGTTATAAATTTAAATAAAGTCCATAAACTAATTTCGATTTTGAAAATAGCTACTAACTGTCACTAGCCATCTTAATTACCATTTTATTGAAAAATCGCTTTTATTCAAAATCTGAGCCAGTTAAGTATAGGAAACCATAATATAGCTTGAAAGAGCATGTAAATCTGCTTCGACTAAAAAATACATAGTGTTGTATTTGAAATAACAAATTAAAACCTCTGACGAGGGGTAGGGGACTCAAAAAACTCACAATCTTTTAGGATGTTTATTTCAAAATTTAATTTCATTTAAAATTGGGGCGACATGTTTGGGGATTCATCGTAAAAGAATGTGAGTTTTTGAGTCCCCTACCCCTCGTCTGAGGTTTTACATTGATATGTACTCACACTGGGTTGGAGAACGTTTAGTTTTGAAATAACAAAGTTTTTATGTAAAATAAATATTTACAATAGACCATTTAAGGAAGCAATAATTTTTTTTAGTAAAGTTTATTTCTCTGGCTCAAAGTCAGCACAAGAATTAACTCTGAAAAGTAATGTACAGGGCGTTGAAAAACTTTTTCATTATAGCATGCATATTTAAATATCTTTAAATATCTCAAAAACCAAAGCATCTAAACATATTAAACCCTTATAAAACATTAATAATTTGGACAAAAAATAAATGCCTTATTTTGTGTCCAACGATCCAAATATGACATAAAATACCGGGTGTTCCATAAGAAAAAATATAAGTTTGGTGTGGATCTTAGTTCTGACATACCCTGTACATTTCGAAATCATTTTAAATTATGCACATTACCTCTCTACATACAGAGTGGCGCACTTCATTCGCCTCGGTTGATTATACGAAAACGGAAAGATGTAGAAACAAAATAGTATATATTATTTTAATAAATATACCTATGTAGAGAGGCAATGTGCACAATTTAAAATTATTTTGAAATGTACAGGGTATGTCAGAACTAAGATCCACACCAAAGTTATATTTTTTCTTATGGAACACCCGGTATTTTATGTCATATTTGGATCCTTGGACACAAAATAAGGCATTTATTATAAGGGTTAAATATGTTTACAAGCTTTGGTTTTTAGGATATTTAAAAATATTTAAATATGCATGCTATAATATTCATATACAAGGCTATAATAAAAAAGATTGTCAACACCCTGTACATTGCTTTTCAGAATTAATTCTTGTGCTAGTCTATTTTAAATATTTATTTTACATAAAAACTTCGTTATTTCAAATACAATACCCTGTATTTTTTAAATAAATCGAAGCAGCTTCAAATGCTCTTTCAAACTATATTAGGGTTCATTTAGGGTAAATTTCAGTAAGCAATAACATTATTTTAGAGTAAAGTTTATTTCCCCACCTTTAAACAGCACAAGAATTAATTCTGAAAAGTAATGTACAGGGTTTTAATAATCTATTCTATTGTAGCATGCATATTTGAATATCTTTAAATATCTCAAAAACCAAAGATTTTAAAGATATTTGAAAATGAAATAAAATACCGGATGTTCCATAAGAAAAAAATTAACTTTGGTATGGATCTTAGTTCTGAAACACCCTGTATATTTCAAAATAATTTTAAATTGTGCACATTGCTTCCCCACACCCCCACGTATACTCATAAAATATTTTGTTTCTACATCTCTTCGTTTTCGTATAATCAACCGAGGCGAATGAGGTGCACCACTCTGTATACCCATAAACTATTTTGTTTCTACATATTTCCGTTTTCGTATAATCCACCGAGGCGAATGAGGTGCGCCATCGCCACCCTGTATACCCTACATAATTCGAACTTACACATCTACGGTAAAAAATACTTCCATCGAATTTTGAAATATCGATGTTGGTATAATGTCGATATTTATCGCCCATTCCTACTGAAAACATGTAATCGACTAAAAGAGGTTAGGTGATTTTATATTGTGAATTGTGATAATACATTATTTCGCTCTAATGTTATGCTGAAATCGTGAGTATTTTGTCAAGATTTACTTTATGTAATCACAGTAATGCATGCTGTTATTATTTACCATACTTTTTTTTATAATTTATACATTTTTAGGCGGAGCTTGTAAATTTAAATCACAGTTGATCACAGATCAAAGATTTAAATATCAAAATTGTACAGGTAGCGCCCTCTCGTAACAATCGCCAGAAAAATATACAGATTCCATTTTATACAGGTTGGTATAGTATATTCCACATAAATTGGTCGATTCGAATACATAGTATATTCCATAGAAAACGTTTTGATTTGAGCATTTTAGCGTTTTCCCTAAGAAATTGTGGTAAAAAGACTTCATATTATAGGGTAACTTATATGTTAAATTTCTGCTATTTTAAATTTATTGTATATTATGTATACCGAGTGGTGCATCGGCGTTGGAAAACAGGATATCCCATGCAAATTTTGAATTGTCTAAATATTGGCTCCCCTGTTGATTTTTTTTAGCGAAGTCATAAACAGGTTTACTAAGGGTCTGGGTATGACGAATACACGACACGGGTCAAATTTTAATAATTTTGGACAAGCTGATTTTAAATAACTTAAAAAAAAAAAAAAAAAAAAAAAAAATTAAAACTGAACAGGTAACAAATGCAAAACCAGCTAATATAAATGTCAACATACTTAAGTTGCCAACCCACAAAACATATACACAAGAAGAAGTGCTAGCGCCTTGCTAAATATTGAAAAGTGAAATTGACGTTTAAATTTGACACTGTTGACAAGTCTACTGCTACTAGCGCCCCCAATATCGCTTGTAGAAACTACGGGCTAGATTGTCACGTATGGCGGGAATTTTGCAACCAGACAAAATCTTAATTTTTATTTATTTTAATTATGACATACATAAAACACAAAATACACCATTTTAAACATATGTTTAATATTAATATCAAATATACAACAGAAAATTAATTTCACCACAATAAATTAATAAAATAAAAAAAGAATAATGTTTAATAGATTAGTGTTAATATAAATGTATAATGAGCAGCAATGACATTCACCAGGGACGTGCATAGATATCACTGAATATTTTGTGTAAGTACGCCTCTGATCAGTTTCTCTTGTGTTAGCGAAATAGTGTAAGCACTTTAATGATGATTAAAAGTTGTTTTGATATTTTGTCGATCTCTGCCCTCCCTTGATGAGATAAACGCAATTTTGTTAATTATAGCAACCTTTAAAAATTTAATATCATTAACTTGCAAAGTTTTAAATAGTACTCATTGATTCCTCATCAAAAAATATGAAAAAGTTTCTATAAAACATGGGTATGGAAATGCATAGTTTTAGAGTTACAGAACGTTAAAATTTTAAAGTTAGATTTTTTGCAATAATCTTAAATATTTCATATTTTTTATTTGAAATTGCTGTTAGTTGGACTAATAGTAATAATAACTAATAGTAATAATATTTAATAATTAATTAGGTAAAATATATTATTTATAAATTTTATTTTTATTTTAATTTGATTAATTGTGATTAATAAAATTGGTGTTTATCTTATTAAGAAGGCCGAATTCGACAAAATATCAAGAGATAACTTTTTAATTGGCGTTAAATAGCCTACACAGTTTTAGTATCAAAAGAAGAAAGTCAGTGGCGCATATGTTTTTTTTTTATAGAAAAAGATTCCAGAGTGATAATCCATATGGAAGTCCCTGATGAATTTATCGACACTTTTTTAGTATTAAAATATGTTGCACTTTTACTCTCTTTTTACAAGTACAGATCCAGAGACAAATAATTATAACAAAAAAAAAAAATGGCGTCATAGATGGCTTAGAAATAAAGATATATATCATAATTTGAAAGTAAAATTATATGGGAAATGTCATCGATCATCATTTTAAGCCAACTGGACGATTATTTCAAACATACAAGCTGAGTTTGTTCATAGTGCTCTGAGAAACCTAGATAAACAAAGAATAATAAATTAAAAGTATTCCGGGGGAAAAGAGAGGAAAAACCTGTATCGTCTCGATATCTGTCAGGGTACCAAATAGGTGCGTCATCTTTGCTCCGAAGTTTTGTGGTCGATCGCAAGATGACATTTACAACAATAATTTCTTTGCCGTAACTACAAATATCATAGAGAGTACAGGTATTGCGTCTCTTTTTCTCTGGGATGCTTTATTTATATCTGTTGTTCTTTGTTTATCTATATTTCTCAAAGCATAATGCCGAACACGACTATAAATACAGTATATAATTTCAATATCCTAAGTGGAAAGAAAAAAAAAGATCACCTTTCTGTTTTGTAGTATGGTCCCTTTCTTCCGATGGTTCATCTCGTTGATATTTAAGAAGGTATCCATAAAATATATATTTTACTATATCGGTCCCCTCTAGGATTAAAAATATAAAATTGGTTTGATTTCATGATCCTTTTCTGTCACCCAAATCAGAGAATGAAAATGAACATGAAAAAAAATTATTTATCAACACTTACCTACACGTTAGTCCGAGGAGTTTTATCAAAATCCTATATTTGACTAAATAATTTATAAGCTTAAATTCTGTACCAGCAAACTACAGCGCGGAATACAGAAGAAAATAAAATGGCGAAAAGTCAACAGTGGTGTTCAAATAACAAATTATGGATCAAATTGCAAAAATGGTTTTTGTCTCTTTTCAGCGCACGCTTTAGAAAGAAAAAAAAGATGAACTGGAATACTGAAAAAACGTCAAGGTTTTATCTGTCACTCGTGTCAATAATTTATCGGCAAAGGAAGCATTCCTAGAAAAATCGTTTGCGAAGTCAAAAAGTTTTCAACCATTGCCAGTTCTCCCAAAAGAAGTGTCATCCAATCTGTCAACCTATAATTGAATGCAATTTGCTGTGCGGTCTATGCTACTAAAGGTTTGTTCCAACTCGCCGCACAACCGTCACCGAACGATCGGACGGTTATCGGACGATCCTATCTGCGTACCAACCTACCTTGGGATCGTTTAGTTACGATTTCAGAACGGTAATTTCCGTACATAGTCCAAATTGAGAACTGTTTGAGTTGACTTGCGCATTAAAGCATATTGGCAGGGATTATTGATTTTTAACAGCTGATTCTGGTCCGTCGTCCGGCTGATTCTTCTGTCTTGTTATTTTTTACAAATACGAATACGTGTGCGTTATACTTTGCTTGTGAGTTTGTGTGGAGTAAATCGTTCAATTTAATTAATTTTTTATTTATAAAATAATGTTCAAAGATTCTACCACTGCAATGAAATAACAGAAAACCACGCATAACAGGATCATAAAGAGAGGATGGGTATGTAAGTGAGTTAGTGAGTATACAATTGAAACAACACTGACCAACAATTACTGGATTCTGATTCTCCATTTCAAGAATAATAGTGTGTGTGCAAATTGCAAACAAAATAATAGGGTTATGTTATGAAATTTTAAGCAAAAACAAAAACCGATCGATACACCTTTGACGGTCCCGAAAACAATCCACAAAGCATTCCAACGTTGATACTTTTTGCACCGTCACGAAACTATTCGAAGTCCCCGCATGCTAACAAAGTGCAAGAAAACCGATTAGAGTACGATTTCGAAACGATCCCGAAATGCTGGTTGGAACAAACCAATGAGGAACAAACGTTATGTTATACTACCTACAGTGAGTGTGCCCGAAATGCATTTTGTAATTTAAAAAAAAAATTTTTTAAAAATTATTTTACTTGTCCAAATTAGAAAAAATCCTAAAGTTTAGGAAATAAATACATTATGAAAATTGACATATTGAATTTGACAATGTTATAAGTTGACAACTTAAAGTATGTTGGCATTTGCTTGGTTTGCATTGTTACCTTTTCTAACTAAACGAAGAGCACCTTTTTACATAAAATAGTACTAGCTTTAATTCTCATTTGTTGAAAATATAGAAAATCGCATTTTCCATTTAAAAAATTGAGAAAGATATATAGATTATGCATGGAATTTCAAAATATTAATTAATAAAATATTAATTAATATTTTAAAATAATAATAAATTTTAATTTAATATTTGACATATTTGACGTTATGAGAATTTTAACTTGATTTGACATGACACCGACAGAAGGAAAAGCAATGTTGCCAGTCCCATTGAATTTTCTTTAAAATTTTTTGAATACATTTTCAAAATAGCCATTTAAAAAAAACAGAAAAATAGAATTTTTTATTCTAATACTGTTGAGACAAACATAAAGAGCTTGAGTTGAGGAAAAATGCCATTTGTGGTAAAATAAAGAGAAAAATTTTTTTTTTTAATAAAATGAAAAAAAGACAAAAGAATCAGGCTTAAACAAGACCAACTCAACCAAAACTAAACCAATCTCAACCAAACCAACCAAAACCAGCCAAAATCAAACCAACCAAACAGCTCACAGCGTGTTTTCATTGCTAGAGCTATAACTAAGCAATTCTCTATACCGCTAGCGGTAATTTAGCCAATTTGTTAAACTAAGTAAAAATTAAATAAAAACTGCATTTTTAAAAGCATATGTCGTCAGTTTTCCCTAAGAAAAGTTACATGAAATTCGGACAATTTAAGCTGATTTGGCAACCATGTATCAATATATAATGTTTGTCAAAATTCAGCCTTCACTAGTGTCAGCATATCCTTCAAGGTAACCTGCCAATGATTTCTGAATAAAACAGTTCTTCATAGTTTTTTAAGAAATTTTACATTAAAAGCTTAATTAAAGATTGTAAAATGGGTGTGTTATGAGTATCCTTAATCAGATTATTGTTTTGACCCCGCCCAGCACCCCTATTCGCTCCCCGGTCCCGTAAGTTTGTTTGGTTGAAAAAAATACTTAAAGAAACACAATTTCTCTCCTCCCCCAGTATATTTGCAATCTCTAAGGTTAATAGAATGTGAGTAGGTATATAAAAAATTCTTATATAATCCCAAAATAGCCGAAAACCGTATATGCAACAATTACCGATATAAATTGTCTTTGAGGGATATTATTGTTCCTATACCTCAACTTTCATGTTCAGTACATCCATTAAAAATATATTATTTTTTATTATTCATCAATAGCCAAAAAGTAATTCTTAAACAATTAAACAAAATTCTTTTATCTATGTTATTCGTCACTGTATGGTCACTCTCGTAAATAAATATGTCATAAGTCACAATCATGTCACAATTTTAATAAAATTTTAAAGAGTAAATTTAGTACTTTGTTTTCTTGTCAATGTCATATCGCCGACAAAACTGCAAAACTGAAGGATATTCTTTGTTCCAGTTTCCACTATGACGAATAAAGAAAACTCATTACAAATCAAGAACAAGAAATACCAAATTATCATCCTAGGACTGCTGATTCATTTTCTTTCATACTTTTTCGCCGTTTTTCGATATATTTTTCCAGTCAACCAGACCATGGTATGAAGCTAGTCAAGTCCATTTCACATCCACCGGCCAAAAGACTAGTTTTATTTGTAGCTGACGGTCTTAGAGCAGAAGCAGTATACGTAACTAG